CCCATAACCTATTGCTAGTAACGTCACTGCTTGTGACTTAGATTCCGTGTTATCGTTTTTTTGTCTAGATTCGGTTGTTTTTTTAAGGATGGGTTTTCGTTTTTGTTTTTTTTCCCGTAGATTATGTGTTTTTGTGTGTAAATTAATTGTTATGAGCACTTAACACCAAAACGCCGAATCCATAAAAAAATCGCAGAATTTTTTAACGCGTTCCTTTAAACACTGGTTACAATGACTGCCGAGAAAGAAATATTTAATTACTTGCTTGTCGATATTGAATGTGATTCAATGCTCACTTTCTTTAGGCGTATGCACCAGATGGCAACTAATGTTTGTTTGCTAAAACAAACTAGTCGATTGCAATCACTGTTGCTAAACTAAGAAAGAATTTTATTAATTGATCTTTTAATATATAAGTAGCCGAAATTATCGGTTTTAGTTTTCAGAACTGCGGACTGAAATGTATTGTGTTAGGTACCAAATGTTAAAAGCGATTTATCGATTACTACCAAACTAAGATTTTGGTTCTATCGGTCACATGAATATTGTGAGACATACTCTTATTCTACATTGATATACAATACAAATTTTATTTTTACCCTAAGTATTAAATGCAGAAAATGAGAGACAAGAAAATAAACTTTGCAGCTTACTCTGGCCTCTCTTGAGGGGACCCCGAAGCTTCGCCACGCTTTACTCCTCTTGGCATGTACAATACGAAGCATATTACCAAACAGAAATTATCGTAAACAAATAGAAATGATTGTAGGGGTGAATTTTAGCTGGTGAATATTTAATCCCGGCCAAAAGCTCACCGGACAAAAGCTCATTCATATTTTCACGGACCCGAACAAAAGCTCACCGGACAAAACCTCACCCATTTTTTCACAGACCCGGACAAAAGGTCACCAGGAGAAAATTTTATATTGATCTTAACACCAGTGCGGAAACTTAGGTGCATGCGTGCGACACTAAAATGCAACGATAAATTAAATCTCACAGGCGCATGGTTTGTTGATTTTAATAAACACAAGTTTATTTATCGATTGTTTAGAAGCGAATGCAGTCTCCTACTAGCTCCAGCAGTCTTGGTAGATCTCCATGTACCTGGAAGCCAGCGCAAATATTTTTAAGACGATTCTGCAGGCGCAGAGTGGTTTTTCGGACCCTTGTTACTGTGTCTCACCTCTCCTGGCTTGTGTCTCACCTCTCCTGACGTGGCAACGAGCGCCTGATTTCGCTGTAGGCATTCAATCAGCCTCAAGACGCTTGGATAGGGCGTGGCCGACGAGCTTCTGTAACCCAGTATTCCATCCTTCGCAGGTGTTGTTCGTCCGGTCCTTATCTTGAAGAGTGGCGTCGTACATATTCCACCGTTCCGGGGGAAACTCTGGCCGTCGTCGGCGCACAGTCAGGCAAAGGGAAGAATTCGCTCTGGGTGTCGCCGCAGAAGGAACAGAAGAATAACGGAAGCGGCCGTTGACATACGTACAATCAAAATAGTCCAGCAGGTAGCCGATAGCATCGGTAGAGTTTTCCCTGATGGTTAGTCATTGTGGAACAAGCTGTGGCTGAAGTTCGAAATTGATCATCTGTTTTGTACTTTTCCAAAAGGCCCAACTCCCGTTCCTTCAAAACATTTTTAAAAATTTGCAACTGAATAGTTTGTATGTTACAGTTTTGCTTCAGTTTTGCGTCCAAATCACCTGGAGATAATCCTTCATTTCAGATACATTTACTACGCACAAAGACGGAAACATTTTAATTTTTTTTTTGGCCATTCACCTTAAATATTACCATGGACCCCCAGAAAAGCCATCCATTAGTAATAAAGAGACATTGAGCCTAACATTTAGGGCTGGTTTAGAGTGACATACGCAAAATGGAAAAGCGAGGTCACCGAAGAGTACGTAACTTCTGTTCTTCGGTCACTCTTCGGGTTCAGAAAATTCGCTTCACGAAGCTTCTTGGCCGCGGCACAAGAGTGCTCCGACATACCTTGACCCAAGCAACCTTGATCTTATCAGCTCCATTCAGTTTTGGGGACCTAAAGTTTAGTCTCAAATCGCTGCTTCTCCGCCTGTTATGGCTTATCTGTTGACACCTTTGCATGGGATGATGGGGTACAAGTTCTCCTGAAAATGGTCCAATGTCCATCGCGTTCGCACTTTATTTCAGCCCGTGTTTCGCCGGGGTAGCAAAAAAATGAGGTGAGCTTTTGTGCGGGTCTGTAAAAAACGGGTGAGCTTTTGTCCGGTGAGCTCCTGCCCAGTGAGGTTTTCTCCGGTGATCTTTTGTCCGGTTACCGTAAATATTAACCATGTTGAAATAACTTGAGACAGGGGTAGAGACATTGAAGGGGCACCTTGCCCTCAGCATACGTCAGTGGACTACGACACTTAGAGGAGACACCAAAAAAACAGGCCCCTACCATAGAGGAAAACGAAGATGCTGATCTTCGTTTGTAAATAACCAAATTTGAAGAAAACAAAGGTACCGCACCTGGTTTGAAAACTAATCACCGTAAAAAACGAAGATACTTCCCTTCATTCGCCGCAGAATAAAAGAAAGAAGCTGCTTCTCTTTTAAATAGACCCCTGAAGAAGGTGCCGAGGCGGCACCGAAACGTTGGGACCCTACGATCTCTTGGGAATTGGTTGGCATTTGCCCTTTAATTATAACATTTAACCCAGCCAGACAGACGTCTGCTGAAATGTTCGCCTCCAGGGGTAGAGAATAAACATCAAAACGTAGAAGAGAGAGAAAGTAGCTGGACGACGTCCCAAACTTATCTAACTCGTTTATTTAGTCCACCTCCTAATAAAGTCTCAATCTCAAGGTCATCTCCACCAACACAAAAGGACGAAGTTTATACAGTTGAAACGCCACAGTCTCCATCACGAAATGCAAGAACGTTGACAACCTTACAGTTCTACGCTATAAGGCAACATCAATCCAACTTCAAACTTGAACAAAAGGATCTCTTTCCTTATATTCTAAACACAGTTTCTACTTCTGATGAAAAAAACCACCCTCTCCACATACTGCAAACACACACACACCCGCACACATAGACGCACGCAATGAAACGAAACTTAAGCCACCACACGTCAAATTAAAAATGTGGTTTACGGATTTTTTGGACAATCACAAGCAGTGTCGCACTTCAAACAACATAAATCACACAAAAAATGAATAAATCAGTGCATAGGCTTTGGTCTTTTGAGTTCGTGGAGATGACCTTAAGATTGAAATTATATAAGAAGGTGAACTAAGTAAAAGAGTTAGCTGAGTTTGAGACGTCGTCCTGTCTATCCCCTGTCGCTTCTATGTTTTGGTGTTTATTCTCTGCCCCTGTCACAGGTAAATTCAACATAATTAACAAACAAAAGACAGCGCAAAGTATAGAAAGACAACGCGCTACATACAGCATACTAAACAACTAATAAATACAGTCGAACAAAATGCAGTAAGATTAAAGAGACAGTGACAGGGTATTTGTGCTCTCAAAGGTTTTTATATGTACATGAGACATGACAGCCCAACTATAAAGAACACAATTTGCTGCTCGAAATTCGTTTTCTTTCCACCCGAAAACCGCCGATCGAAAACTGGTCGAAAAATACTTAGTTGGGCTAGTTGGTTTTCCATCTGAACTGAATGTCTATAAAAACAAGGACAAGAGGACGAGGAGAGCAGAGGTTGGCGTACTCGCAACTAAAAGTTAAGTTTTGGAAACACACTTATATACGGTTCGTGACACACCACCGTTTAATTACCCTAGATTCCACCCTTTCTGCAAAAGTACGAATTCCTTATCCAGAAAGGCCAATTAAGGCTCGCTGACAGACATGCGTGTGCCTCTTGTTTTTATTTCAAAGGTTTTCTTTATCTCTCTTGTTGTTTTATTCCTATGCCTTCCGAGGATCTTAATCTCCATAAAAAGTGGAGAGCACTCGCATCTATTGCAATGCACTGACAAGTGGCCCGACTGTGACTCTTTAGTGACAGCATCATGCTGCTTTGAACAATCATTAACGCATCACCTTGTTTGGCCTACGCAAGAGCGGCCGCATGAAAGTGGAATGTCATGCGCAACGCATGTGGAAAATTTCACAAATTTGTTTTCGTGCTTTTTCTTGCAACCGTCACCCTGCGAATGAGGGGCGTTTTTATTTAGGTACAAACCAGATAGCTTATTTGGAGCAGAAAAAAAAACTACTAAGGCATCATAGCGTTCAGCAACTTCTTTTTTAAAATTCTGAGATAAGTTATGTATGTAAGGAAGTATTGCAGGCCTTTGCCTCAAGCGCTCACGGGGGCTATTCGCGCCGATGAGCTCCTTTTTAGGCCTTCTGCAACGACATTCAACGCCTGGTGTTGGAACCCCGCACTCAAGTGTCGATTAATCTGTCTCTGGAAGCTGCTTTCCATTTCATCAGGACTTGACTTCGTCAAAGACGCACCAAGACACTAAGTTGCAATGCCTCTGTTTACCGGTTTGGAGTGGGGAGAGTTGTATGGCAGCACAGCTCTTTTGAGCGAGGTTCTTAGGCCCGCCGTAGGTTGCCAATCAAAAATTGAAGTTTTAAATTAAAAAAACTGGATTTGTTCCTCACAACTTCTCTCCTGCGTAAATGTTAATCAAAGGGCGCATACCGTAAAATTGCATAACAGATCGGCTGTAACTGCGTCGGAAAGCTCATTGGGAGGGAGAGCAATTACGAAGTAATCATCAACATATCTAGAGACCTTGAAGATATCGTTACCCAACAGTCTCTCAAAAAGGACAGGAGCAACCCGCGACCCTATACAGATGCCCTCTTTTTGCACATGCACCTCGCTGTGACAAGTTAAGAAATGTTTTCTGGCTGGGGAGGAGGAAGCAGACGGAACGCTGTAGAGAGGAGGAGGTTTTCTCTTATCCTCTGAAGCATTCCGTCCACTTCCCCGTCCCCTGCCCTTTTTCCCTCCAACACATTTTTAACCTGTAATGGACTATGGTTTATCCCTTATTACCTAAAGAATCTCACAATGCGTTATTCCTGCTAGGTCTGCCAGCGCTAGTAGACGTTTCGCTTCGTGATCAACCGGATGACATCATTGGCTGTGAGTGACGTCATGTCTTCTGCAGAGACAGGGCCTAAGTACGCCGTCCTATGAGTCACGTTATAGAGCATATCTGACACTTTCGCTGCTTCTTGATCGGCGTTCTCACTACACCAGCAAGGTTCAATGCAGAGAGCAAGTTGTCTGCTTTTTACGCAAAGGTGGCCGTGACGTGAGAACGACGCCGAGTTCTGATTTACTTTGACTGGAAGGATAGAGGGAAGACCTAATTGCTAGATGCATTGAGGTCTACTCACTATGGTGCTCAATGAGCCGATAAGAGCTCCGCGTTCTGACGTCATCACAGCCCCTGTGCAAGAAGTAGAAGAACCTGCGCTCCGCATAGTCTGGAATCGTACCTTCTGCAGCAAACGTGTTTATCTTTTATTTGTCTGCAGGTGGAGTTTCGAGCACCGTTCTTCCCGAGACTGTCTCCACGACTGCCCCATTTGCTACAAATGCAGTGGAAACATCCTCGGCCATGGGTAGCTCATCGACCGAATCAAGTTTACATCATTCTACCACGCAGTCCTCAGCTGCCATAGATGGCGAAAGCTCTACGGCGAGGCTTCCGATTCGTGAGACCACTGTTCAAACAACTATGATACCGGAAACTACAACTGCGCCAATTACACAACCTCGCGTTACGTTGACAATTACTTCAACGTCCGCGCAGAGAGAAACAACGGCGCTGTATGTGCATTCTACAAATCTCCCTGCTCTACCGAGTGCTTCAGAAAAGATTGTTACGAGCGCGACTGCAAGTCCAGTTTTGATAACAACCGTTAATCAGATGTCCACTGGTCCTTGGAACACCACAACATCTGCGGCGCCAGCTCAACAAACGAGCGCCACGAATAAAACCCGGCGACCTACCTGGACAACGAACATGAGCCAGCCTTCTTCCCACCCGCAGGAGTTAACAACTTTTACACCACCGCAAAGAGCGACAAGGCGGTATGATTCAACTTCAGCTGCATTCAGTATTTCTCCAAGGAGAAATCGGACCACCACTCCAACGACGAGTACACAATCGCGTACATCGGGCAATACCCAGACGTCCATAGCGTGGTATTCTGCAGCATCAACTCCCACGACGGCGTCGCTGACCACTTCATCAAGCCCACAAGAAACGTCAAACTTGAGATTCAGTCCTACTTGGCGGCCTTCTGGTACCAGGTCTCGAACGCCTTCTCCCAGTACGCAAAAGGCAACCGCAAGGATGACATCGGCGTCGACCACATACAAACCTTACACGGCGAGGAGGCTTACTACACTCAGTACTACGTCGAACTCTGTCGCATACACAAGAACTACTAGACAACGTTTCACTATTCTTCCTGTCTTCACGAGATACACAAGGAATACGAGATACCCGCTAAGAAATAGAACGGTGTTCTACGTTCCCACAACTCAAGCGCCGAGCGTGAGAACAACCAGCATCGTCTCGCGTTTCCCTAGTTCAAGGCCTAGAGTTTTCACGAGGACCAATACGGTTAGTCTGCAGCCGACGACGGGCAAGCCATCTGCGGACGTTCGACCGACGACGAGAAAAACTTACGCGACTGTTGTTCATGGCGCGACGCGCGTGACAGGAGTGACGCTGGTCACAGCGCAGCGAGATCTGAAACCGGGTCTTTTAGGAACAACGTCAAGAGCGGTTACTTTTAAGACAGAGCTTCCACCAACCGAAAGTCCCAAGTCAAGCCATGGGGTCTCCTCAATGGAAAGCACCGTGGCATCCGGTATCTCGACGAAGACTACGTCAGGTTTACCCACAAAGCCAACCAAGCCAACAAGAAAAACTGTCAAACCTCACCACGCGAACGATTTTACAAAGTGGACGAAGAAACCTTCCCTGAAGACAGTAGCTCCAGCGGTTTCCACGCATAAGCAGTTCACCCCAAGTGGAGTCCACAGTTCCACTTTTGGTGATTGGGTTGAAGAAAACAATGCCTTTCCTAGCGAATCTCCCGGTGCGAATTCGGGAGACCAGATACCAGAAGTCGTGGAAACACCCGGAGACATCGATGACAATGAAATTCCATTGCTCAATAGCGCTCCGTCTAGAAATCAGGGATACATGGCTAAGCCTCAGCAATCCGCGTCGGTAAGAGAGAGAGGGGCATCGTGGGGTTTGCTGGCGCTCAAGATCGGCATGGCAACAGCATGCGCGTTAGGTTTGGCACTCGCCGTCATGTTCATCATGCTGCGGTGCAGAAGAAGGCCTGCTTTGGGCCTCAGCGATGATTCTGAAATGAAACCACTGTCTCAGTTTGAACAATCGGAAGCCGCGGATGGAGCTTCATAAAATGGAATCAGAGGAAGGACTCTAAAAGTGATATGTTTCTGTGCATTGCAGCACAGTATTTATTTGCGCTAGTCTCCTCAGTGAGGCCAAGGGTGGCATTGTTGTACGAGCATCGACTCCCGCCTTTGAAAATAGAAAATGTTTGCAAAATCTTGAAGGCTAAGAGGAAACAGTCGAAAGTGAGAAATGGCGTCATCGGTAGAACATGTGCATGATGCAACGTTTTCTTTGCCATCAAGAACGTTTTTAACTGTGCGAAATATATCTGGGGACCGTTTGCCACAAAAAACGTGCTTAATCTAAAAGGAAACAGCTATAACGTTTGACCTCGAGCTGTATATTGCTGTCCTCTAGTCATTAAAACCGTCATCGGCTGACTACAGGGCTGCGAAGCTCACTTGTGAACAGCGGTCCTAGGCCAATGATCGGCTAACTTTTCTTGAGTGCGCAACAGGTTAACGTCGCTAGTGGCCAATACGCTAGTGCGGCAGGGTAATGGCGATGGTAAACGAGCCTTTAAAGACGCGGTACTGCGAAAGTGGGCATTGCGGCCCCTAGCAAAGCAGCACTTTTCCAATGAAGGAATGTAGAATAGATCACACAGATTATAGGGGGTAGCAGATATTATAGGAAATACCATAAAGATATGAATCCCACTTTCGTTGCCATCTACAGTTCGATATTGCGGTAATTCAAATTGCAAAAAAAAAAAAATGAACGAACATTTTTTGTTTGGAATTTTAGAAGGGAAATAGTGGCTTTGTAAACACGCTTACCTATTTAGTTATGCAGATTCATATTGAAGCAGCACACTTTTATTCAGATTCCTGTAAAGTCGCAAGTTCGGGCGGCAACTGAATACAAGCTTAAAATAAATAAACACATGCTTTCATTGCACACGTGAGGTCATGCGCCAGTCTTTTATAATATTAAATTGCCTAGTCCTCCGCGAGGCCGACAGTTGCCTCAAGTACTTCAAGCGCAAGAAACCCCGAAGCGCGGACCTAGACGGATCCGCTCCAGGAGTACTACCACGCTCTGTTCAAATATAAAGATGACAGAGGTACGGATATTCGCTTTGTAATTAGTGCTTGGGAGGTGTTATGACATTAAAAGTGGAGTGTTGAGCGTAATATGTGCGTGTCAATTTCATCGCTGCTCGAGAAGCACCAAACCCAGTTTCGTTGTGTGCGACAACTGCGTTCGGGACACCGTGGCAATTGGCGTCGAGATCAAGATATGTGAGCCCTTTGCCAGCTTCTATTTTAGTGTGTCAAGATTACAGAGTGTTTCCAACTGCTCGATGGCGTTCAGGTGGTTTGTATGTTGCGTTTGCAATACGAGCTGCGAGGAGGGGACGAAAGCGTTGACCGCCTGCAAGCGTCTCTTTCTTTCCGCCCAATTTCCACCTATCCACTGAACAACGCAGCGTATACGCACTAGCGAAAAATCCGTCCAGAAGGCGTCCGCCATTAAATTACCAATGCTAACCAGGGTTTGAGTTACTGCCTCTATTAAGTGTTTGCACTCTGTTAGTTTTCAGAGCTCCGTGTTTAGTGAACACAAACATGTGAACTGGATTCATTTCGGCATGTGAATCTATCGAGGGTGAGCACAGATTCCATACAAGTGATGCGTCGGCGTTCGGCTGGAACTTGTGTGTCAGAAACACAATTCAAGTTGTTGCACCCCTGGATTTAGTTCTCGACTTGACCAGAAGAGGCGCGAAGGTTTGATCTTCTCCACACATACGCTGCGTGGTATGCAGTACCGGGCGTAGCTCCACTCTGCTTGCGACTGAAGATCATGGATGAGAAACGAGGTCTATTCTTCTATATCCTAGATATACTCTTTTTGCAGGGGCACTCCTAATCGCTGCAACGTGTGATTGAGGTCCGACGTGACTGCAGTTAAGTTTGACTGTGTAACTAGAATATAACCGATAGTTACTGCTAACTATACTTAGGCACTTCATCAGTTTATGATGTACATCAGACACTTAAATGGCAACTCCCGTCGAAAACGAAGCCAAGATAACTGACCGCGGTTTCGCTTTAGTATCACAAATTATGATCATACCCGAAATATTACGTCAAAGTGAAGCCGCGTACTCCACTAAAACCGATTTTAAAAATGAGACCAGCAGCTCTTTAGCACTCGGCAAGAGGGAATTAGCTTTTAGCCAAGGAAGACTGGCGCAGCACCCTTGTGACGTCACGTCGTGGTGGAGCTGTTGATTGGCTTTACCGCGCACCGCAGCACCAGTGAGGGCGCGGCCGAACGACTAATGGTCAGTGTTGCCATCCCTCTAGCAGATAATTTCGGTTTTGCTGTAGACGCCCATAACGAAACTTTCAGCAGTAATAATTATAAAGCTACACAGAATATGAAGAAAAAATTATACCTTTGTAATTTAGGGACACTGGCTTAGCTGTAAACAGTCCTAATCTCAAGTTTTTAAATATTGAGCGGTGTCATCCTTTAACTGGAGTTAAATATTGTCATTCGCACTTAACTACGCCGAGCACGAGAGCTCGGTAGCTCGGCCAGTGTCCAGAGCGATGATCGAAGATTGTGGAATCCCGGCTACGGCATCTATCACTGTTTCAATTCCACCAGGGCGTGGCGCGTTATTGTAAGGAAACGAGCAAGCCAGCAAATAAGAAAGGACGCGCGTGTGCACTGCACGGGTCTCGACAGCAGGTGGCGAGGCGTCAGGGAGAGAGGCGATCCAACTCGGTCGGCGTTCCGGTGTTTTCCAAACTTTTGCGCCCGCCATTATATCAATCTTCTTCATCGGGACTGTGAAAGCGCTGTAGGCTTGTAGGACTCGTCCCGTTAATATTGCAGTCACGGCATATCTAAACTGCATGAGTGGAATCGCAGAACTCATGACAACCAGAAATATCTACAGTCAAAGTTGTAGTTCAGAACGCAATAAAATGGATTGAACTTAGGAATCTGGCCCGCAAAATGACCTCTAAAGGTGAGCCTTCTTAAAAAGGTCGAGGGGAGGAAGTCTGGCTGAATGTTGCGGTAAAGTGGGATGCGCCGGGAGAGGAAGGGTAGCGTCTTGCATATGCTTGCAGATACTGCGCTTATGATCATAAAGGTGGAAGGAGGGAAGAAGCATGTCGAAGGGGATGCGTAAGCAACTTACGTGATGGGGGTGATGGGAGGGAGATCTCGACCAGCTCTATTATTGGCGGTGACGCGCCCTGTCGGCCGTCTTGTCTTGACTGGCCTTGGCTACGCCAGAGGCTGTAGCTTGGCACGCCGGATGTGTCGAAACGGAAGAAACAAGACGGATAGAGCGACGGCGCTGTTGCTTCGTTCGACTTGCTTCTGGGATCGGGGTGAACGCGTAAACATTTCGCGAATTACGATCGACGAATCACACACTATTTCGTAACATTCTCGACCTTTCCGTGAAATGCCCCGTATAAAAGTGTACTTCCATTCACGTCTACCTTGTACGACATTGGCGCTCGTTCAAATTTTAGATGGAAATCGTGTTCGACTCTGTCGCTTTCGCCCTTACCTAGTGTTTGGGTGTACTGGCGCTTAAGCCTTGCTGCTTGTGTTTTTTTTTATCAATATCCAGGGTTGTCACGGATGATGAGAAAAAAGGTGGGGAGACGGAGACTCAGATATAAGCATATATATAAAACAAAGAAAAATATACTAAGTGAGGAAAGGAAGAAAAGAAAAAGAATCTTCGAAGAACAAAATAGGTAAGAACTGGTCACTGAAAACGCGTTCGTCCGATGTATAGTCACCAGTTGGCCCTGACTTGCGTTGCTGCCTCCCTTGACAGTGATGGGTCCGGTTCTTTGCCATGGTGGACGGAGGCGGGTATGTTTGAGCTCGGCCCAGGATGCCGCGGTGGAGCAGGGTAGGTTTGTGCCGGGTTGCGTTGACGCCGGAGCGGAGCCGGTGTATACCGGCTCCGCAAGTTCGTCTGCATCGGTTGAATGGGCTGTGGTGACGTCAGAACGCCAAGTTCTGATTGGCTCTGATTAAAGAATAGTGGGTAGACCTTAAAGCAAGCTGCCGTGATGTCTATCAATAAATCAATCAAATCAAGTTTATTTCCAGAAACTGTGGTGGGAAAGCCCACTCAAAAAGTTGTTGAAAAACAGCTTGACTAGGTGTGCTGTCCCTTTACATTGGCAGCAGAAAAAATCAAGAGCACATTAAAATTATACAATGTTATAAAAGTAAAAACGAAGGGCTCTCTTACTTACAGTGCTTATATTTATGTTGTTTGTAATACACTTGTTTAACAGAAGCGGTGTATCATAATATAAGGACTCGAAATTATATTTTGTACGAGACCGAAGGAGGACCCATGAAAATGTGTGACGCGTGCTAACAACACATTTATGCCCTCTAAGTTCTAAAATTGTATACAAAAACTCTGCAAGAGCTGGGGAGGAAAAACGATCTGTACAAAGCAAACGGTTCTTGTATATAGACTCTATATGCAGTATATAAAATATTAAAAAATATTCTGTGTTTGTCATATTAAGAAACATCTCCAATATAACGTAAAATTTTCTTTTGGAGGAAAAATGTGTTATTAAGGTTTGTTTTGGTCGTAGTGGCCCACATAAGACGAGCATAGCTTATGCGGGACCGGAATAATGCGTGATAAATATTTAGTTTGATGTTGGGTGGCACAATATTATGGTAGTGAGCCATAATACCAACTACCTGTGACAGTTTTACAAGTATATACTTCATATGGTTATCCCACGTCATGTGCTCCGAAATAATTACACCCAAGGTTTTAAGCTCGTTTAGAAGTTCAGTCGTGGAAGTACCAAGATTGATTTATTATTTAGAGCAACAGGTTTTTTGTTGACCTAAATAAAATTGCTTTAGTTTTTCTTGTGTTTACCTTGAGCTCATTTATTTCAGACTGCATAAAAAACTTGCGTAAAATAGAATTCGCTTCAGCTCTCGAGAGAAACAATCTTGTGTCATCCGCGTAGATAATGAAAT